GCTTATAAGGGGATTAGGATCTATTTTAAAAAATTGATAATCCAGGAAAAAATTAAGGAAAGATGTTTTGGAAACTCAGAAGATAATTATGATGAATCTGAAATCATTAAGAAATTGAAAAATAAATTTGAAAGACCGAAACAAAAAATTTAAATATTGACAGTTCAAATTCTTAGATCCTTAAATACAAGGAGACTAAGGCTGAATTTATAACAAGGATAGCAAAAAAATGGTCAAAAAAAGGGTGTTTTCCAATCCAAATATTATTTGGAGAATTTTATAATTCCTATTAAAACAGTAGTATAATGCCTGATAAAACCATTTTATGATAATAAAGGTTAGAGGAGAGAAGTTGTGCCAATTGAATAAAAGACTCATTTTATGCAATCTTAAGTATTCTTATTATGAAAACTCATATTGATATAAAAGCAGTGGCGTAGCCAGGATTTATCCATGGGGGGGGGTACCCTATTTTTAAATTTTGCTAATATTATGTGCTTTATTAGTGTCAAATCACTATTAGTGTTGTTAAACGGCTCTTTTTGAGCCGATTTTTAAAAACGACTAACTCAATATTTCATCTTGAATAATATTAAGCAAGCCTGAAGATTTTGTTTGTAGAAGGAACAAAGGTTTGAACATCTATTAGCAAAATCTCAAGGCTTAGGCAATATATTTTTGGCTAAAAATTGAGTTAGCCGTTGTTAAAAATCGTCTCAAAACGAGCCGTTTTACAACACTAAACTATAGTAGCCAGCCAGCATAAATGAAAGAATATTAGTGACCGAATTTTGGCCAAATTTATGATTAATAAGCGGCTGGAAACATTATTCTAAAAATTTTATCAAAAAATTGTAAATTAATCTATTCAGTGTAGAAAGAAGAAAAAAAATTTGCCCCCCAAACCTTCTATTTTTTATGATCACTCAATATATCTTATTGAGTGTTAAAAATCATTATTTTAAATTTTAGAGAATTTCATTATAGATTTTATTTATTGTTAAAATACTATTGTATAAATAACATCCCTTATTTATTTTAATGATAAAATACAATAAAATAAATTTCAAAATGTAGAATTTTTATACAGATTATTATATTAAAAATTTATTGTATATATAACTATATTTAAAAAAAATATAATTCAATAAAATATAAGTAATTCTTGTATGGTATTTAAAAAAAATATAATTTAACAATTTTAATTAATACAAATAAATTAAAAATATAAATAATTCATATTGCAAATGCAATACTTTTATTAAAAATAGGCAGAGAATCTAAAGTGCAATTACACATGGAAAGGGCCTGCAAAGCGTTTTTTGGTCTCAAAGAGTATTCGATTTTATCACGACATCACAAAGTAACTTATCATGCGATCCTGATAAATCATCAGAATAAAATGAGATTTTCTTAATATCCTCTCGCGTTTCAAGTGTAATCAACAATTCAGACTCAACTGGCAGAAGAAAATAAAAGCTTTTAAAAATAAATCTTTCATTTAATTGAAATAAAAATGTATCAATAAGGGAAATAAAATATTTATTTTATAAAAATCCTCAATCGTAGATGCATCAATATTTAAACGATTGGATTGTCTAAAAACTACTCTAGGTTTAAAAATTTCAATCCCAAACATATTGGCGATCTCCTTTACTTCCTCGTATATTTCATGATGTTAATATTTCAACATTATCCTTTGCCCTATTCATAACCTCCCTTAATTCCAAATCAATTTTATGTAGCATTTTGCTAAAATCATATGTATAATTTAAAAAAAAATATACACATTAAATTGATATTAAAAATGTGGCTTCGTAATAGCCTGCAAAAGATTTTCAGCATCTGCGGAATCTTTTACTTTGCTTGATATGTATGATTCGAGCGCTGCAAAAATAACTTCATATAATTAGATGAAATGTCTCACTGATTGTTGCCTTTCAATAAATAGTTGGGCAAAATCTTTTTAGTTTTTTTTTGATTATTTGAATCAATATCATAAACGTTCGGTTAAAAGGCTACCTCTTCTTGGGTGGTGTAAAAAAGTCACAAACCGACGATATTGTTTCTATATTTTGAAAAATTTATTAGAATTATAAAAAGATATCTATAATACATAATAAAATCCAATAAATTCCAATAAAATTAAAATATTTTTACGTAAACTGTTCCGGATGTCTCGAATTTCGCATGCCTCATATATAATCAAATTTAGGCAATGTAAACTACAGTGAACATATAGAGCTGTGCTATAAAGCTTTCTAATTCTTGACTGCTCCCCTTTAACGTGACCACTCATCGATGGAGCTCTATCATATCCGTGGTTTCTCATTAGATTTAAATTTAAATCTAGGTCTTAAATGGATGCTAAATTTTTTTGGCTAACATATTTGATTTAGTGTCATGTAAGCCAATAAATTGAACAAAGTGTTCCTTCATTTTGAAATCACCTGATTCCATTAAATAAACCTTACTGCTATGGATAATTGCTCTATGTTACCAACATCCGAAGAAAAAATGGTGATGCTTTCACTTTTGAAGAAATTTCTTTCAATATGAACCTATTGCATATGGCTATTATTTCATTTTGAATACTTGGACTAAGGTATGGTAGGTGGCATTTTTAGCAGAGCTTTCAAAAAGCTTTATATAGTTATCGTTATTATTACATAAAAGTTTCAACAATTCCTTGAAATTAGTGTTGTTAAATGGCTCGTTTTGAGTCAATTTTTAAAAACTGCTAACTCAATATTTTATCCAAAATAATATTACGCAAGCCTGAAGATTTTGCTCATAGATGGCACAAAGCTTCTTAGACATCAATTAGCGAAATCTCTTGGCTGAGGGAATATTTTTCTGGCTAAAATATTGACTAGGCCGTTTTTTAATAATCGGCTCAAAACGAGCCTTTTAACAACACTACTTGAAATTCCCTTCAATATGAGAAGAGTATGTAAGTGTGAAGGGGCCAGCAGATATTTTATGAGCTCTTAATGCTAAGCCCTGCCTCCCTAACCAAATGATTGCATCAATTATTATAATTATTCTTGCTCTGTTGGTTGTAACAATATCAAAATTTTTTTTATTCAATACATTAGATATTGATATCTTTTGATTCATAATGGCTTTTAAAGCATCCGATATCTCACAAGAATTGAGATGGTAAATATTTGAGTTCATATAATTATTAATATATATTTTTAAACCATGTGATCATTTAAAATTGAAAATTCTTATTTGTTTTTTTTAAATATATTATATTTTGATATCGTATATAAATTTATTTATAAATTGAAACCGTTTTTTAAATAAAATTATTTGTAATAAGAAAAAAATTAAAAAAAAAAATTTTCTAAAAAATTTTCAAAAAATTTCGGAGGTTATGGGGGGGGGTTTAACCCCAACCAACCCCCCCCCCCCTTTCTTGCCTACGCCACTGTAAAAGTAAACTTTAATAAATTTGCAGATTTAAGACCGATTTTTTTTTTATTTACTTTAAACTAAAATGTTTGGTTTTATTAAATCAAAATTTATCAAAAAATTTGTTTTCTGATGATGCAATAACTCAATGTTAGAATTTTAGAAAAGTCACAATCTAAGCCACCATGAACTTGATTTCAGAATCAACGCGGAATAACCTTTCTTGGTAATGGTTCATGGCAAACACTACCAAAAGGTTAGGGGCAAGAACTAGCCTTCAGCACCCGTAACCTTAGGTTTATTTTATCTTTGTAGCAAATATCACTATGAATGATGAATATAAAGACAATTAATGTTCCAAAGTCCATTCATATTCCCGGAATGCTTTTATGCCTAGGAAAAATTAAATTAAATATATAAATTTGATTTGACCAATAAAATTATGATCATAAATTGATTTGTATTTTTTAGTTATTTTTAAAGGAAAAGCCTTTTCCCTTTAAGTAAAACTTCTTCAGATCTTAAATTACTATCCTTTTAAATATTAAACATAAAGTATTTGATAGCTTTTGATTTATATTACGATTATGATTAATATCAAATATTTATAAAGAATATTTGCAATAGAATAATGATTAAAAGGCCACATCTCCTAAAATGAGCTCGAGTCAACTTAATTTACACATTTATTAATTAATCCTAAAATCAATGCTTAAAAAAATGCCAATTTGATTTTATGATCATTTCTGGTTTTATATCAGGCTTTTAATATCTAAAATTCATAATTTAAGATTATATAACTTTAAGGGCCTAGAATTAGGCTATATAAAGAAATTTAAATGACGCTTATAGCTAAATCATATATCCAAAGATATTGAAAATCAAAGGGGTGCGTTTTACCCAAAATGCTCCATCTTTTCGATTTATAGAGGCCCGTATCTCACTCTTGTTTGAATTTTGAGGCTAAAATTTTATCTCTAGTAATTTTAGAATAATCTGAGAGGGTGGGGTTGAAAAGCGTGTTTTTTTGTTGATTTGTCCTGGAATTCACCCAATTATATTTTTTGCATATTTAATCTTCTATTTCTGGAAATTTTGTAATATATTATTTTTAAAAATACATAATAGATATAAATATACATATTTTGAAAAAATTATTGCTAATGACATAATGATTAATGTATTTATTTTTGGGAGACAGAGAGGCGGGGGTCGTGGGCGGAGGAGAGGGTAATTTTAATTAGGTTAAAATGATATTTTTGAAAATTTGCATGACTATGAAATAAATTATTTGGAATAATGGTGTTATGCTTATTATTATAATATTTTATTGGCAAATACTTATATTAATATATTTTTTTTAATTCCGTTTTACGTAAATGCTTTAGGTATTAAAATTGTTACATTTGTATTAAAATTATAATATAATATATTTCAAAAACCTTTAATCGATTCACTTTTACAAATAAAATTTATAGTAATTGTAGGATTCACTACATAGGAAATTTTTTTTAAAAAATATAAATATATATTTTTTATAATAAAATATTTATTTTTCCTTACAACCCTTTTTCTCGAAGAAAAGAAAATGTCAAATGCGAGGCCAGAATTTTTGGATAAAGGTTTCGTAGAAAATGGCCAAAAACTTTTAAAATTCGTTATGGAATATCATAATAATATTAGAAATTTTCCTGTTAGGCCAACTCCTGCCTTGAAACCGGGATATTTGAGAAGCATACTGCCTTCCAAAGCTAATGAGCAACCAGTGGACTTCTCCAGTTTGTATTCGGATATAGTTAACATAATTTTGCCCGGGGTATATAATATTAATATATTTTAAAAAATCTCTATCTTTTATTAGTTTTATTAAAAGTAACTTGTTTCAAAAAAATATAAGTAAATCATTTAGATAAAATTAACTTTGGCCTGTAATAGCAGTTTATAGAATGTCGGTGGGTGAAAAATATTTTTTAAATAACGGATAGACGGGTAAAATAATTTAGCACCATATTTTGGCGGCTCTAGACAAATATGAATTTGATGGCGACACAATTTAGGCAAGCTTTAAAAAAAATCAAAAAATAACGAATTACATCATTTTTAAAATGAGATTTATAATCAGTTTCGAATATGAATTAAGTAATATATTTATGCAATAAATTAATGTAAAATTTGAGCAATTTGTAAAATCAATTAATACTAAGCAAGTTAATTTAATATTTATACTTTTTATAAAATTATGATTCACTTTTATAAAGGCACAAAAAACAATATTTGGTAGCCCCTAAAATAGTCTGATTTTGGAGGCTTAGTGCCGCTTCCTCGCCCTCTTTTCCATTACGGGTGGAAGTAGAGTGAGCTAAAATTTATTTAGATCTATATTCCAAAAATCTCATGTCTTATAAAAATAACCAATATATAAAGCATATCAGGTCGTTCAGAGAATTTTATAGCGAAACTTTGATAGTTAATATCATTTATCGCGAACGAAAGAGGGCGAAGGTAATATCGCTAACCCAATTCCGCGATTTTTTTTCCATGAGGCATTTATAGTTAGGACAATATCTCGAATTTATTTCTGCGAAACCTAAACAGCGAAAACTTTTGGTGAATACATTTTGGCGAAACTTATATCGCTAACTCATTATAGCAAAACTTTTATCACGCCTTTATAGCGTTTTCCACGATTTCTTACATCATAAACGCGAAACTTATTATCTATTAAGTAAGCAAGAATTGCCTTAAATTTGACTTAATATAATGTAATGGAAAAATAACTTTGCAGTTTCTTCCTGATCATTCTCATTTATGGTCATAGGTAGGAAGAGGAGCGTTGGGTCAATTTTTTACCCCAATAAATGCACCCATCCCCCTATCTCTTCCAACACAAATTTTGAAAATGTAAAATGCACTGTGGAATTTAAAGTAAATTTTAGCAAATAAGCTGAAATGCTTAGAATTTTTTTTTACTTATTCAGGACTAAAAATATTGAAAGCTAAGAATTTCTATTGATTTTCTCAGATTTTTTATTGAATTATATCTGAATTAATCTTTTTTAAAAGGATTTTTCATTTTTTAAAAAAATCTTATGTTATTTCTATAGAAAATTATTGTTACTAAATCTGAGCCCTGTGAACTGTTTTATAATTACTAAATTTCAATTTTCGAATAATATAAAACTAAAATGTAAATTATTTATAACGTTTAATATGCTAAATTTTAAAACAAATTTCATAGAGAGTCATACCAGAGGCCTTCATGGGCCTTAATTTTTTTTTTAGCAAGCCCGGCCCAGGCCCAGAGTAAAAAATTTTTTTAGACCCAAGCCCTGCCCATATCTAATTTAAAAAAATTCCTATGTCCGTCCCAAGCCCATAAAAGTTTCAAAAATTTTCCCAGGTCCAATTTAATTTGATTTATTTATTGAAAATAAACAATATTTAAGCTTAGGCAATCATTTTTACAATACTGAAAATTATTATTATTAGAAGAAAAAATGGCAATATTTCTTTAAGTTAGCAATTGTTTTGAATAAGCTAAATTTAAATTTAATAATTTTCAAGCCCAGCCCAAGCCCATAAAAAAAATTCAAAAACCCAGCCGTTAAAAAATATGATATTAGGGTACCCATACCTATGAGCCTGCGGGCAGTGGACCGGCGGGCCCATAAAGATATCTGACTCATACCACATTTTTTGCCTTCTAAGTTTTCATTTTTTTAACATAATGCACATCGATATAACTTACCACAGTTCTCTTATTATATGAAGAATTTGGATATTATACAAAGAATTTGCTGTATGGGTTTTGCTATAAAAAATTCACATTATTTAATTTGCGATATCCTCGCGGAATAGTGTTCACGAATGTGAATTCTAGATAAAATATAAAATTCATTTACTATAATATACATTCGCGATAAAAGTTTTGCCAAAAAGTGTTTCGCGATAAAGGTTTTGCTGAAGATATGGAAACCAATCATTTAAAGAATATTTTTTGTGTAAGAAAAAAATATATACTAGATAATTTATTAAGTAACTTTTAATGTTGGCTACTTTTGAAATAAGATTTAACTAGTTATTTAAAAAATTAACATAACTGGAACTAATTAAGAGAAAAATGTATTGTATTTAAAGTAACTACACTATTGCTTTTATAGATCGTGCATTGGCAAAGTCCAAAGTTTCACGGATATTTCCCTACAGGATGCTCATACCCTTCCTTATATGCCGACATTATATCTGCAGCCTTTAGCTGTATAGGCTTTAACTGGGTAAAAAAATATAATATCTTCTATTTAAAAAATGTATATAATAAATATATATATATGAAATGAACATTTTAATTTTGTCCCCAAACTATATAAATCAAATTAGAAACTGGAAACTGTTCTATATAATGTTTCTTTAATGATGATAATAAGAAAAGTATTATTATATATTAATAATCTTTATGTATTTAATAGTCGGCATGTCCCATATACACAGAATTAGAAATAGTCATGGTTGATTGGATAGCGAAAGAAATGGGTCTTGCAAAAAAGTTTCTGTTCGAAGCAAAGTTAGGGGGCGGAGGGATAATTCAAGTGATTGATTTATGGTGTTACATTTAATTTACCTAAATCTTAGCTCTATCATTTTCGATTTATTTTTATTATTACTATTTTTGTTCTGACGGTTTCTTGAAGATTTTTTGAACTAGTTATCTATTCCACCTGTAAAGAAAACAGCAGTCAAAATTTTTTTAATAAAATTTACTCTTATAATATATTTTTATAATAAATTCTTTTAAGGTTTAATTTTTTTATTCCTATTATGAGGTCTCTAATATCGATGCATAATATATAAAATAATTAAAATACCAAATAATTAAAACTTTGATCATAGTCTTTTTTTACAACCAAAATTTTATTTATACACAATATTTTAAATTAATGTCGTCTCTATAAAGAATTATTTGTTCTTTAAAATCAGAGTTGTTAAACGCTACTTTTAAAAGTAGCGCGCTACCGCTATCGCTATTTGTTAAAAAATGTAGCGCGCTACCGCTATCGCTATTTGTCAAAAAAAGTAGCCCGCTATTAGCTACTGTTTTTTAAAAGTAGCTTTAGCTACTTTTTAAACTACTTTTATAAAAAAAATTTATTTTTTTTGCTTATAATGTTATTTTATAGTAAATATATAAAAATCAACATTTTTAAATATTAAAATATAGTTAGTTTTGATTATAAAAAAATTTATGTAATAAAAATAAATATTTATGGTAATTTGTTGCGTTTTAATAATAAAATCATTTCAATATTATCATCCCCAAGTCTAGAGCGACGATCAGAAAGTATAAATTTTGCCTTATTAAATAATCTCTCGACACCAGCACTTGAGGGTAAGGGCGTATTTATTATATACATATTTTTAATATAAGATAGATTATCAATAATTTTATTTGCAAGTACATCGTATGTCTGGCATCCTATTATCATTTTGAGGGCTAATGCCACAGATCTTCTTTTTAAAGTTCTAGGGTCTTGCCAATGGCCTGTGATTCCCAAATAAGCTCAAAAATATTTAATCAGATCAATTTATAAATATAAATAAGTTTTTACCTTCTGTTATGTGTTCAACTATCTCCCGTGGTACATATATGATATATCTGATAACTCTACTATTAGAGCATCTTTCATCATTTTAAAGTTATCTGCTATTTTATTCATTAGTGTCTAGCGGCATAAAATTGTTGTACCAGGACATAGAGCTTTAATTATCATGGTAAATGATGGATTAACAACTAAGGTCATTGGCTGAACTGTATAAATTATAAAATCAACAATAACTTTACCCAATTTCTGAGAAATATTGTCATTTACATTATTAATTAATTTGGTTTGAATTGAATTAGCTTTTTGGATGTAGAGTCGCCTATACCAAAATTATTTAGATGTTTCTCGATTTCCTTAAAACTCATGAACAGTCTTATAAAATAAATATTATTAGAATGTAAAAATGACAATTTACCTTTAGGTGTTTCTTGAGGTTATAGCTACTGGATTGATTTGAGGAAATATTTTTTTTTACATTTTAAACAAATAAATTTGAAACCAGTTTTGGTTGTATATTTATTAAAAAAAAAATTCAAATCTAGGGAATGGGAAATTTGTTTTATAGCTATTAATAACATTTTCTTCCCTGGTATCTTCCATTTCATTAATATCATTGTCTGAATCACTTTCAACGATTTGGATATCCATAGGCGATGACATTTTAAATTATTAACACGTGATTTAGGTTTATAATACAAATGAAAATATAAATTACAAATTGAAATTATATTTTAATTTCAAAATTAAATAATAAATCATAAAAATTATAATTAATTATAATTAATTATGATATTATATTTAAATTTTGATGTTTACACTTACCTTCATTATATTTTTTAACTTTCAAAAAATGTATCGCGCTAAAAAATTAAATAATTACAAAAAAAGTAGCCGCTATTAGCTATAGCTACCAAAAAAGTTAGCGCGCTACTTTAACAACTCTGTTTAAAATGATTCAAAAAGATTAGAAATATTTTTGCGTTCGAAATCGAAACTTTGATATTAAAGCCCTTCAGCGTTGAAATTATGTATCCAAAATATGTGATTAATTATTCATATGCTTAAAATGTGTTATATAATAGTATAAAGCAAATTATTTATTAACAAGGGCTCAGCAAGTGAAGCCGTTACAGTCTCGATAATAGCGGCCAGAGAAAAAAAAATTTCAGAAATTCTTGCAAACACATCTCAAAATCTTACCTACTACGAAATTCTATCCAAACTAAGAGCCTATGCATCAGATCAAGTTTTTATAATATAATTTTTGGTTATAACATTTTTAAAAATTTTCAACAAGAATTATTTTTAGCAAATTGTTTCTTATTCAATTTTCTTAAGATTTTAATTCACGTTTTAACTTTAATATATTTATCGAGCGCTTTTAAAAAAAAAACTTTGAATGACCTAATTTTGCCTGAAATGTTTTAATAGCATATAGTGGCTACCCAATAAGGTTCAGTGTGCTGTAAAATTTTGAAACAATTATAAATCGATTTTTATATATTGATTAAAGAATCCAAGGTTTCAGGCACGGTTTTCTGGTATAATATAGGAGGCACTTTACGCATTCCGAAATAAATTTCAGGCCAAATTAGGCTATTTAAAGTTAAAAAACGCTACAAATGATTTAAAGTTGCAAATTTGGCGAAAACCCAGAATCACCAAAACTTTAGACATTATATTCCTCATATCATATCGATATTTTTTAAATGTGCCAGGTTCATTCTTCAGTAATAAAAGCTGCGCGGCTGAGCGCTATAAGGTTAACTATAATAGAATCTGAAAGTGATTTGCGATTAGGAGGAGATCGTTTGCTGGAACATATTAAAAAAGACACAAATGAAGGATTGTTCCCATTTTTCGTAAAATAAACTTTAAGAAAATATTTTTTTTAAATTAAAAGGCATGTTTTTTATGGTGCTATTGCAATCTATCCATATCCTTTTGTAATTTTGTATATTTTGAAAAAATAACTTAATTAGAGCAATTCTAGAATTATTTTACAAATTTAAAAATATAATTCATTGGAAAAATTATTAATTTTTTAAAAATTAGGCAAGCACTAACATTGGTACAACAAATACCTGCGCGTTTGATGATGTTGAAACTATTGGAAAAATATGTTAATATTAATACTTTCCTCAATTCAGTTTTAAATATAATCATTCTTTTATAATTATAATATTTCAAAATATATATAATTTTTAAAATTCCATAAAATCCATTAGGTCAAGAGCACAAAATTTGGCTTCATGCAGACGCTGCATACTCAGGAGTTTTATTTTTTATAGAGGAGTTTCGAAAGGTCCTTCCCAAAATTGATGTAATTTATATTTATCTATTAGAATAATTATATAATATTAAAAAAATATATAAATAAAATGTGGAGCTGAAAATATTGGCCAGAAGCCTCAATTCATTTAAATTTTCCATTCTATTTTTCCTGATTCAATTTCCTTATAAGAGTTATAAATAAAAATAAAACAGAACAGGCAAATAGCACTGTATGTTTATTTGAAATATATTACATTTATATTATAAAGGCTGGGGTTGGGCTGACATTTTTTTTGACCATGTCAGATCGAAAATTTATTTTGCAGGACTTTAACTTGCTTTCTAACAAATTTAAAAAATTAAAATATAAAAATTAATTTGGCAACAGTTGATAAGCTTACTAAGAGATCGTTTGATTATACAAATTTTCTAATTATAATCAATTAATATTTATTTTCCCTAAAATAAAAAAATAACTTGATAAATGGGATTAATTAATTAATTTTGGCAGAAAGAATATAATCTCTGAAGTTTTTGAAATTTTAGTTGAAAAAAAAGATTGATTTGGAAATTTTCACCTTACTTTCAATAATTGTAATTATTTTAAAATATTTCGATAAAAGTTGGTTCAATCTTTCGCTTTTAATCCTCACAAACTGATGGATATTTGTTTCGATTGCTCTATGTTATGGTATCAATATTATTTATTAACATGTTTTAGAAATTTTTTAGAGAAAAATATTATTAAAATACACAAACTTTTTAGCCTTTGATCTTATAAAATATACCGATAATTTTTTTAAAAATACTTAAGTTATCAAATATTTTATGCAAATTTTAAAGGATAGAAGATGGTAACGCGATGAAATCAGCCTTAGGTATATATCCTACATATTTGAAAAGTGACGCTCAAGACATTATAGAATTCAAGGTTCTAATTTATGAATAATAATTTGATATTTATAAATTAGAATGGTATTTATAATTAATTAACATATCTTTGCACCTTATATAGTTACTCTTCATAATACATATAGGATTGGCAAGTACCTCTCGGTCGAAGATTTCGATCTTTGAAAATATACTTTCACATCAAGCTATTAGGAATGGAACACATTAGATCTCAAATTCGAAATGTAAAAAAATTGTAAACCTCATATGCCCACTATATTTTATCTAATGGCATCACTAGACTGGAACGAAAGCCAGCTTAGATGTCAAATTGCGAATAGGCATAAATTTAAAATAGGCTTTTTAGCGAGCTAAACAATAGAAACTAGCGACTCCCACTAATTCAATTTCACTTTTTTTCTATTCCATTTTATTTTAAATTAGCTAAGTTTGTAATCATTATTTTGCAGTTTTCATTTTGATAATATAATTTATTTATATTTAATATTTTATTTATATTATATATAATCTTCAAAACATCCATTTAAAAAAACAATAAACAAGTAAGACATCACAAAATTCAAATAGAATGCTTAACTTATTAAGATTTTTTCTTTCTAAACCAATATGAATATACTTAAGTTTTCAAATTTCGAATACTATTGAAATTTATTCTATTCGATTTATTTTTATATAGCTTTGTACTGATTTAAATTAGTTCTTCAATACGCTCGTCATATCCATCATCCAGTGCCCTCTATCCCTCTGATGACGTTGAGACCGGGTACTCTATGCACATGCACCCCACCCCCCCCTTCTAAAAAGTTATGTTAACTTTTAAATATTTTCGGCTAATTTTATCCTACTCATTCCAGTAGTGTATTGCTTAAAAATTTGGCAAGGGGGCTACGGTTTTTTTGTATTATATTAAAAAATATGGTATATATAAAATGGTTCTTTTTAATATTATGAATATTATAATTATATTTTAAAAACAATGTAACAAAATTAATACCACCGATATATATCAAATTAAAATATATAAAAATATTGTCATTTTTTAAGAGGGGGGGGGGTATATTTTTCTTTAAAGGACTATAATTCGCCCAGGATGATTCCTTTTCCATTTGATACATGGATCTAGAATCCATTCCGATATCGAAGGTCGATTAATATTTACGAACACTAAATTCGACAAATTAGTTACTCTTAATCGTTCGTCTATCAGATCAAAATCATAAGATAAAATCCTTTTCCTCAGCTATAGAATAAAGTATCCATACTATTAAGAAATTTTTTAAATTTTGTTAAGAATAACTTCATCGATATCATAGTATTCATTTAATTTGAATCTTGTTATTTGCTTATCGTCAAATCTCGTATCTTGGTTCTTAGGCCAATTTATACTTTTGAAATTTATTCAAGTCTTCTTACCCTCGTTTTCAAATCTATCCTGTATATGGGATTGCTTGATGCTTCCTCGAAAAATTATAAATTGGTCTATTTTTAATCTTGCTAGTTTTCGATTTTTTTAAATAAAAGTAATTTCAGCAACATTTAATATTTACATACATACATTGTCTATATGGGGGAGGGGGCGATTTGCACCCAATTTTTTTGAAGAGGGATATATATGGTACAGTAAAAATAAACATTATTTGTAGATTACAAATAAAAATAACTAATAAAAAAAATTTTAATTTATTAAATTTATTTATCATTCATTCACAGACAACATTTTAGTACAGTTTTTATACACGCTCGCTAATATTTAGAATATGTTTAATAACAACATTTGATTGTCATAATTAATTAATGATTATTTGTTATTCCTGGCCTAAATAAAGAGGCATGAAAGCGTTTAATTAGAATTGTTTTGAGATTATAAATGGTGGATCATAATAATGATAGCGTTTATTAGAATTGTTTTAAGATTATAAATGGTGGCTCATTGTAATTTATTTAAAATATTATCATGGGTTATTAGAGCATAATGGGTGGACAAATATCGCGGCCAAAGCAAATTTTTTAGGGGATAGGGGAGGATTTTGGATGAGGGTTGCCTCTAATAAATTTTCTGTCATGTAGACGCTGCCTACATAATATTTATTATTGTCAACATGTTTCTAATATTTTATTTTAATATTAAAAAAAATGGTTAATTGACAGAAGTATACCGAAGAACCTGATAAAGAATATCCAAATTTTATTTCCTTTAAAGTAAATTGATTGATCTTAAAAACTAACCACGTGCCTATTCGAAAATTTTAAATTTCTATTTAAATATCTTGTTAAAATTGAACTATAGAGTATATTTTTTTCAAGTTTAAACCAAGATCGAGGCTAGATAAAGTTATGGCTTAATATTTGTTAAGCCTTCTTAGAGGTGGCTCAAAACCTGTTTAAAATGAAACACTAACTGTTGGTGGTGGACATCCTATACTTTAATAAAACAGAAGCGGTAGCGATTACTTATACAAATTTCTATAAAAATAATGAAAATAAAAAAATATATTGAAAACAAAATTTTACTTCTCTATCTTCTCAGTGGCTATAAAAAAATATGGAAAAGATTTTTGGATATATAAAATTTTTAATTTTTATAGCAATAAGAAGAAAAAAAGGATTCAGTAATAGTTTTGAAAATTTTTTTTTGGGGGTTGGGGTATATTTTAAATTTGGAAAGAAGTCTAAAGATAACCCTGTTCATCCTTGTATCTATGCACATCCACGCTATCCCAAATCAATGATAATATTTATCTCCCACCCTATAAATATTACCTCCACTACATAAATTATACCTGACCCTTAAATATTTTTTACCCCTTGCCAAGAATCCGAACCTTCCAAACCTCTACTAACAGTTATTTACCAAATCCAAACTAGCTGAGCCATTAAAAATTTACTCCTCCGAACCTGAACTGAACTTCTAAACCAGTTTGAACCATTTAATATCCTAATTGTTTTAAAGTTTAATATAAACGAATTTTGATTTATTGGTAAGTATCATTTGCTATTTTTATAATAAATATTATTTATATTATAGTTAATACAATAGATATGTTTTAATTGCATAATTTATAAATTGGGTATATTTTTATGTTCAATAATAATAAAATAAGTGCTAATTGCTTTATGCATAGGATTAAGCAATAAAATTAAAAGGGTGATTCTTTATACATATTCTAATTAGTTATATGCAAAAGAGTTCGAACCGAGTTTTAATAATTAAACCAAAATCGAAATTATTTATTTTATCCGAACTTATATCCTAAACCGTTATTTTTATATGAACCACTGATATTCGTGACAGTTCGGATTATTACCTGCCCCCTAAAAATAAATTTATTTCCCCCTTATCAAAAATAACAAAAACAAGAAACTCAAAATAAACCAAAAATAAAGAAAATCAAAATTAACAAAAAAAGAAATCTAAATCAAAGCAAGGAAAAGGCGAATACTAATAATTCTTACCCCCCCCCCCCCCTCCATTCATTCCTATTGCGTTCCCATCTTCCTCTCGTGGTAGAGACCCTTGTGTGCATCAATAATATTGTTAATAGGTATTATAATAAGATAATTAAAGAAAATACAGTGAACAGTAAAGTAACAAAAATTTTTAGTCTAATTTTCGGTATCATCTATAAATTGCCTACCACTAGAAGCTATATAATGTAAAATATTGATATTCTCTGAATTATTATATGGCTTTGGATTTGACCATCTTGTAAATTGTTCGAAATTTAATTTATTTGAAAATTGCAATGACACAATTCGTACCTTAATATTTGCGGGAATTCCTTCTACCCTCGAGTAGGCTGGAATTTGCAATAGAGATGGTAAATGTCCTGATGGCTCACCCAGTATCCACTAGAAGGTGGTTAGTTCCCCCCTGAACTTTTCCCGTGTAGATCAACTACTCTCCAACCTTAACCATGATCCTATAGCTGACCTAACAAAGCAAGTCTGCCAAATATTCTCCTGCGTTGCCTTTCAACCATTTATACATATCAATTATAGCTACAAAGCTAACTTTATTCGTCACGTGTGCCTAGTTTTCTTCCAGGATCTAGGGCATCGTATTTAATCTAAGGCCAAAATCCAAAGGCTTTTACCTTTGATAAAAAGTTACAATAATTATAATCCAGCTAACGGTATAAATTTCATATTCTCTAATGGCCAAAGCATTTCACCTCCTAATATCTATAAATAGCCATTATCTCATCATTCTGTTCTAGGCTTAAGATTCTCCAGAAAAATAGAGTGCATAAAATGATGTCCTATATCTGACTAATAACAGGGCTGTGAACGGACCTGAATCCTGAACCAGAACCCTTAATACTTTACTGAACCCAAACATATCCTTTTTTAAATACTAATATTAAGATATATATCACACCCTTTAGGATTAGGGGTACTCTTAGTCCTTCTGAGAGTAGAGACAGTTGTTTTAGTAAATTTTGATGCACCTTCCTCCTTGTTTACCTTGGTTATTGGGGATGGTAAGGGCTAAATATAGTAAAATAAAGTTTACACAAAACTAATGCTTCTGTAATCTTTACTAAATTTTATAAGCTATTATTTTTCTAGACTACAAACCCTGAACCCGAACCTGGTTCAGAGATATTTTACTGAACTAGAACCCAAACCTGAACCCTTATTTAAAAGGATGGTACGTAGCCCTCAAAAAAAATACTTATGAATAGAGGAAATGTGCCATGAATGGCCATTGCCTTTTTGAAAAAAGGTATTAAAATTTATGTTTAACCAAACAAATTTTATATCAATGTGTAGCCTAAATATTAATCTTTAAAATATAATTTGAATCAAAGCTCTATCTATAATACTTTATGGGCTAGATGAGATTATGTGAAAGTTGTTTTTCTGGCCAGTCAATGGCCATACACTATGTGTTAACTTGCCATAATATATTATTTAAGAATTTTATTGTAAATATAAAATAATACAATATGATTAACTTGTAAAAGACCTATGTTAATATTTCTTTATTTTTTTGTTATATAAAAAATTAATTATACACTAATTTAATTAGTATTAAAATCTCAATTTATCACCATCTATTTAATGATAATATTATAAATTAATATCTTAATTATCTTTTTGTTAAACTTTCTTAAGCTGTTCATCATTTGAAATTTCACTAAATGTTGTTTTGCACGAGCTTTTCATTTTAATATGAATATGTGAATGTGCGAATTGTGGCCAATTAATACATGGCCAGACAATACTCACTTCTATATTATTATTAAGCGCCTTTATATATCTATTAAATAAAGCTTTTAAAGTCTAATTTTTTGTGTGAATAATAAATGCCTAAGGATAATATTTATATAAAATATCAGTAATATAAATTAGTAATTTTTTCACCAAGCAAAAAAATGTGTAACGTGATTTTTCCAGAAAGATGTACTAAAAACAGTTTAATTAAAATACTTTTTTATTGAATTGCTCCATTCAATAAATGAACTTAGGTAAGGTACATAACATAAATATACATATTTTGATTAATTTTGAGAGAAATTGGTCTAATAGATAAAAAGTTAAAGAGTGGTGGCCAGTCTTTGGCCATTTATGGCACATTTCCCCTACTTAATATTTTATTGTAATGACTCTTTTATATTTTGTACATTCTATTTATAACATTTACTAAATATATTTAATATATTTATTACATAAAAATTAGCACAAAAATACCAAATATAATTACTTATTAAATTAAATTAAAAAGAACAAAGCTCTCCAATAATATTTTTTTAATAATAGTGTTTCCACTTAACATCTTTGAGTAAAATAAAAAATCTTTTTAAGTCACATCACTAAAATTCTCTTCTAATTGCATAGCCACTAAGTCTAAAGCACAAAACATTTCCATTTTATAGCTTAAATTAAGTTAAATTTATTATAAATATTATCATGGTACTAATTGGCTTGCAGAAACTGAGATTCTACTAATATTTTCCTATTGCAAAGTTGTAACTGCTTGTCCCTTTATTGTTAAAAATCTATAGCTACTAATAAGAGTTTCGCCTCAAACGGGTTATTATTAATTATACACTGTAGCGCACTTAAGAGGTAGAGGTAGAGAGTAAGATATCTTTGTCATATGACTTTTCAAGGTCCTTTTCACGTGTCCACCATCTTACTAATTTTTTGGCCCCTTGGCTGCTTCAACTAGGCAGAATTAGTTAGAAGGATAAAGAAATAGTTTTTTATTTGATTCGCCAAGATCAACTGATGTCTTGTAATATATATTTGCAAACTTAATGGTTTGCTACTTATATCCTTTTTTAAATTAAAATTATAACTTTACTTAGGATAGCATTTGGCAAATTTTTCGATTAAAAGTTACTGAAATCATTTATTCATTTTTTAAAAATATTTTGTGCTAAATTTTATATTATTAAATTCGTTTGGTGGATAGTAAACGGGAAAAAAATTTCTAGCAAAATAAAAATAATTCAATTCGAAATATGCCAAAATGGGAAATATAAAAGATCTAAATATCTGGTTTGCGCTAATATTTAGTGTCTAAAGAGTATTAATTAATTTCTCAGTGTTTTGCGAACCATAAGACCTAAAATTAAAAAAAAATATTTTGGGCGGGGCCCGGCTCAATTATTTTTTAAATTCGGCCGGGGCTTGAAAAATACAAAAACTAAAATGTAACATAGAAAATGATGGTTTTCCTTGTTTTATCAAAAAAGAGATAATTAGAATTTCTTAAATAAAAAAAAGAATTAATGATTTTAACTTCAAATATCCTCATAAAAATGCATTTAATTTGTATTTTATCAAAATGTTTCTGGCCGGATCGTACTCGGGCATAGAATAATATCTCAGTCTCAAGACGAGATCGGGCTTAAAAATTAATTAAATGTAAAGAGCATGGCTCTATGCTTGCCTCCAACTGTCCCGAAATTATATTTGCACAGGTCGAGATATACGGATCTCTGGTATACGAGTAATCAGGCCTTACTACCTAAGTTATACCATATAATTTTACTATATAGGGAGTTAGTGGGATACGTTTATGCTCTCCTCATTGCCAGCTCAGTCTAGGTGATATTAGAATCGAATTATTATTCTTACATTAAAAAAAAGGATGGATTGAATATAGAATATATTCAAAGAGAAATTTTTTTTATATTCCCTTAGATGTTTTATTTTTACTATAAATTGTGACATATATACATTCGTATTAGATCTAGATTTTCAAATGTCTAAAACTTAAATCATTTAAAGAGCCAATTTTTTAATTTTAAAAGACTTTGTTATGCTAGAATCGTATTCCTTTTTATAAAGAATTTCATATAATATTGCCATAAAATTTTATAATAGGGGAAATGTGTCATGAATGGCTATATTTTTGCTTTTTTTAAAAAAAAGTATTAAGATTTGGGTTTTACCAAACAAATTTTATATCAATGTGTAGCCTAATTGTCAATCTTTAAAATAAAATTTGAATCAAAGCTTTATCTATAATAATTTTAGAGCTAGATGAGGTTATGTGAAAGTTGTTTTTATGACCAGTCAATACATACTATGTAATACATAGTATGTATTGACTGGCCATACACTATGTGTATGTGGCCATAATATATTATTTAAGAATTTTATTATAAATATGAAATAATACAATATGAAATACTTGTAAATGACCTATGTTAATATTTCTACATTTTTTAGTAATATAAAAAATTAATTATACTCAATTTAATTAGTATTAGTATCTCAATTTATCATCATCTATTTAATGATAATATTATAAATTAATATCTTAATTATCATTTTGCTGAACATTCTTAAGTTTATTCATCATTTGAAATTTCATCAAATGTTGTTTTGCACGAGCTTTTCATTTCAATATGAATATATAAATGTGCGAATTGTGGCCAATCAATATATGGCCAGTCAATACTTACCGCTCTATTGTTATTATTAAGCGCCTTTATATGTTTATTAAATAAAACTTTTAAAGACTAATTTTTTGTGTGAATAATGTGAAATGCCTAAGGATAAGATTTATATAAAATATTAGTAATCTAAATTAGTAATTTTTTCACCAAACAAAAAAATGTGTAACGTGATTTTTCCAGAAAGAGGTACTAAAAACAGTTTATTTAAATTTTTTTTATTGGATTGCTCTATTCAATAAATGAACTTAGGTAAGGTACATATCATAAATATACACATTTTGACCAATTTTGAGAGAAATCGGTCTAATAGATAAAAAGTTAAAGAGTGGTGGCCAGTCTTCAAACATGGCCATTTATGGCACATTTTCCCTACTCTTAATTATATAAATTATAATATATAGCCTAAAAAATACGTCAAAGTTCAGGACGCGAAATTGTCTGAAATTTCTAGGTTATGTATTCTATACATTTGAAAACATGATTCCGTCATAATTATGTCCTTGAAAATTAGAAACCACGCGCTTTAAGTGATTTAAGTTTAGAGTTTGCTAAAAACCTGTGTCAATCAAGATTATAATCATGAATTTGTTAAACTCCAATAATGATTTGATTTTAGAAAATATATGTTCCAATATTCCAGCAATGTATCGCAAATTTCTTTTTTAAAAAAGTATATTAAATTAGGTGAGTATTTTGAATCGTTGGTACAAAAAGATGGACGTTTGTTTATACCATATCCTGTTGCATGTGGAATGGTCTGCTTTTATTTGAAGGTTTATAATTGAATTCTCTTTTTTAAATAATTTGATTATACTATTAATTTTTAATCAAAATAAGCAATTTATTTAAGATATTATTTATAGTTATAAATATGAGTTGAAAAATATAGTCTTACAATGAACTTGTATTCAAATTTTAATTAGCTCGAATCCAAATGTTTCTTGATTGACATATTTAATTTTTAAAAAGAATTCCGATTCTCTGACTCGGTACTTATACAAAAAGTTAATCGAACGGGATATATATTTGACATCCACAGAGGTTAAAGGGCGATTACTAGTAAGGTAAATAAATAATTATAATTTTATGGCTCAATTTTAAAAATATAATAGAACATCATTTTAAAAGTAAAACCGAGAAAAAATGCAAGATTTCTCGGAAATGAAAACAAGATAGTAAAATGGGGAAAACTTTATAAATAATTAAAAATTTAATAGATTCATTAATGTAATATAAATGACAAACTATTAAATTAAAATTTTTTAATATTATTTTGATTTAGTAACTACTATCGGTTAAAAGTTAATTTCCAAATGTTCTAGGATATATTGTCTAAAAAAAATCTTGATATAAATACATCGTTCAAAATATATTTAGACACATGTATTTAGATATTGATACATTTTCCCAAAATATCATCGATAACATAATTAATTATTAAATTGTCTAAAATTGGGTTATGTTTTGAGGCCTTTTTGCAAAAATATTTGTGGGTCTTTTCTAATTAAGAGGACAACAAGGAACCTAGTTCCACATTTTTTTATTTGATTTATTTTTCCTCTGCTTTTTTATTTTTATTAAAGGTAACCTATGTTTCCTCTTAAAATTATAAATATGTAAGTATTTAATATTTAATTTACCCTCAGATGATTGACAATGTTGCATGTATAAGTAACGTTAACTAAAATTTGATATTTTTTAGAAGACAGAGCTAATATTATACCATCAGAGATTTATTGGCTTTATTTTGAGAAATTATTTTAAAATAGGTTTTATAAGGCCAAGTTAATCCGCTGATCATAGGCGTAGTCAGGATTTCTCTAAGGGAGTGCACTATTAAGTCAGGTTTGCCCTATAAATTTTGTTTGAAGTCGACCCACATATTGTAGGGCTTTGGCTATGTTAGTATAAAAATAATTTTGGTTTTAATAAAAATGATTTTTTTAAAATTTTTTTTGAATGTAGTCGTTATTTTATAGTTATTAACTTTTGCTAATTTTATTTTCAAACACTTGTCTATAATGATGTATTTGCAATTTTTGGGAGTGTAGGGTAGAATTTTTATGAGCTTAAAATGATATTTATGAGAACAGTCAAATTTCCGAAGGGGGAGGGAAGAATTCTCCCCGGCTACGCCTATGTCACTAATGCTGGATTGATTATTCCTTCTGTTTCTTTATCAGTAATAGTAATATTTATAAATAAAATTGCCTGTTGCAATGAAATTAATAAACTATAACATAATATTTAATGAATTAAATTATATAAAACACATAAAATAAAACTATATCAAAATATAACTAAAATATAACTAGATCTTCTTCTTCTCCCTTTTATGGCGATTTCCAGGTTTACCCAGGTAGGCCAGTTTTCCCTCTGATTTAACATCAATATTTGTAAGATTCATGCTTCTTATATCCACCGCTATCACATTTGTCCATGTCATCTTGGACCTTCCTCTAGGTCTTGATCCTCCTACTTTTATCAAGGTGCATCTTTTTACCCAGTCATCTTTTGTCATACGTTCAACATGCCCAAACCATCTTAGTCTATTTCGTCGCATTACCACTCCAATCATTTCTATACCCAATCTTGCTCTCAATTCCTTGCTAGTTTTTCTCTCTCTCAGAGATACCCCACACACCATCTAATCATCCTTAACTCTGTTTTTTCTAAATTTGGCTTCGTCGCTTTCATTGCCCATGTTTTGCCGCCATAAACTGAACAACTCCTCACACAGCTTACGTAAACTTTCCCTTTTAACTTCAGAGAGACTTTTTTATTTGTTAGAATGGAAGACATCTCTTTGAACTTCTTCCATGTTTGTCTGACCCTTGCAACAACGGTCGAATCTAAACCACCATCTGCGTTTAGCTATCACCCAATTAACAAAACTTATCCACATTTTCTAGGGTTAACCCATTGCCAATATCCAAACCACCATTTTCTACGTCATCACTATTATGTACTCCTTTCATGCACGTTTTACAAATAAAGATCATTCTGGCTAACATCCAACTTCCTTTTTTCCAGCTACATCTATTATGTACCCATTTCTGGCATCTAGTGCATTGGATTAAATTTCTAGCAACTCCTTTCCTACATACACAAGGCCACTTACCGAATTCCTCCATCTTTAGATTTTCCCCACCAATCAACACCTTTGTCTTTGCTGTAGTCATTTTTCAGGCCCTTTGCCTCTAAAGCCATCTTCCATTTACTAATTTTATCCCTCAATTCTTCCTCACTGTTTGCTATTAATACAAGGTCATCGGCATATAATAGCTTCTAGGGAAGTCCTTCACGCATTTTTATACCACTCTATCCATTACTAAGATAAATAATAATGGACTCAGTACGGATCCTTGATGAAGTCCTACCTTCACTTCAAAGCTTTCACTATCTTCATCATCCGTCCGTACTGCTGTCTGTGCTCTTACATATATTGTCATCACTGCCATAACCAACCATTCTTCCCCACTTTATTTTCTCAAGGCCCATCTAGTAACCTCGGGCGGCATCTGTCAAATGCTTTCTCCAAATCAACAAACGCATAATACAGTTTCTTTTCCTTGGCAAGATACTTCTCCTGTATTTGTCTCACCACAAAAATTGTATCTCTCGTGCCTTTCCCCGATGTAAAATTAGTTTGTTCCCTTATCCGCTTTTCTCTAACACCCTCTCAAATATCTTCATTGCATGTTCTAAGAGTTTAATAGCTTTGTAAGACCCGCAACCTAAAGGATCATCTTTCCCCTTGTATACTGGGATAATTATACTTCTTCGCCAGTCCTCAGGAATATTTCCTTCTGTGACAGTTTGATTAGCTAAATTTATTAATTATTCAATCCGTGAATCATCAGAACCTTTAAACATCTCTGATACCAACCTCGTTAAACCCGATGCCTTACCTTTTTTCATCTTTTTTACTGCTCTCTTTATTTCGTCTTTGCCAAATTTACATCCTAGACCTTCTACTTTGCACAACCAACATTATTAGCCCATTCATTTTCTTCATTCAATCCTTCCATGTAGTTTTTTCAGGTGTTCATCATACCAGTACTATCAATCACCATTTTTCCTTCCATATTTTTCAATCATTTAACACCTACCACATCCTGCCTCTTCTTTGCCATCTGCTTTGCCATTCGAACCACATTTCCCATTCCTTCAGCGCATTCCATTTCTTTAGCAAATCCTGCTTTTTTTTTCTTGCGCCTTAGCTATTAATTTTTTAGCATTTATTTTCGCCATCTTGTAAATATCATTATCACTATTTCTTTACTATTATCATTCTTTGTAGCACCTCCGTTTCTCATCCACAGCTTTAGCTACTTCCGGGTTCCACCACTAAGTTTCCTTATGTCTAGGCGGCCCTTTTGTCCATCCACATACCTCCTCAGTTCTCATCACCTAGACTTTCTTAATGGCTTCCTACGTCATTTACCCCAGACGCTGTGCCACCTCCGCCTCCCAATGTTATATTGAATTTACATCTTGCACTCTCCTCCTTCAATTTCCAAACCTTCAGCCTTGGCACAAACTTTCTTTTAGTCATCCTGGAGCCTTTAAAAGTGAGATCTCCTATAACTAGTCTATGCTGATTAATACATTCCTCTCCCGATCCATTTTTTACTATACATCTATCACATCTCCTTAATAACAAATAATCCACTGCACATTTGGTACTACCCGACTTATAAGTCACCAGCTTCTCTGATTCTCTCTTAAACATTGTATTACAGACGATCATATCCATAACATCACTAAAATCTAAAACCCTCTCCCCTTCCAGATTTCTGCTATAACTGAATCCTCCATGTAATCCTTCATAGCCCTCACTATTTGCTCCCACATGTCCATTCAGATCACCAGCTAGGATAATCCCCTCTTTATTTGCCAGTCTCGATGTCTCCTCCAATAGACTCTCCCAAAATATAACTTTTTCTTATTCACTTCTCCCAACCTGATAAACATATGCAGAGATAATATTATATAGCTTTCTACCAAAAATCATCTTGATAACCATTATCTGGTTATCTAGCCTTCTCATTTCAACTACTTTGTCTACCAATTTCTCCGCAATCAATGTCCCAACTCCAGCCTTACCATCATTACTTCCTTGCGATAAGAATTTATACTTCACTAGTCTGCGCCATTACCTTTCCATCTGGTCTCCTGTATGCAGTACACATCTATATGCCTTCTATGCAATACATCGACCACTTCTCCATCTCTTCCCGTCATCCCTTCAACTCCTTGTCGCGACCCTTACTCGATCCCCCGTAAACTGGTTTCTCCACTTATTATCAGGTCTTTTATGGCCGTCATAAGTTTTATTTTTATAAATCGTGCTTCCACCAGGTTCCCATCCTTCTTTTTGTTGTAGGCGGATGAGGAGGCCCACGGGGTACTTTGGGATGTACCCAACCCATGCTTTGTTGTAACCATAGGGAAATTTTGTAGCAAGGTTTTACAATCACATGCCCTTCCTGACATCAACCCCTTTAAGTGGTTGACCCCGTCAAGGCGACGTTGCACCTATTCTAGACCCAGATCACAGGGAACCTCTTAGATCTCCATTAGTCGCCAAAAGACGTTGCCACTCCCCCACCATGATGAGGCTGAAGGTAGGATTTTGGGAGAGAAAATATAACTAGATACCAATGCTTTTATAAAAATGTAACGAGATATATATACATTTTATAAAAATGTACTTAGAAATAGATATACAACATTTTTGTATCTAGATACTTACAACTTTGGTTTCCATTGGTAGAATTTAATTATAATAAAGAATTTATAATATTTATTTGGCATAAAAATTTATATATATTTAAATTTAATAAAAAGCGATGGCCTAACCCAAGAGCTCTAGATCTCTCCACGTGAGAGGTTCCAAAGGTTTTAGAAAATTTACGAGGCCCCAAGGAGAAAAATGTTGGTTTCTAAAAAATGTCTATAAAATATCTGTAATTATAATCCCACTAGATTTAAACATTTATTTTTCAAATATACTCCATACTACATAGAAAGGAGCCTATTCTTTAATAATTAATATGAATGAGTATAGTCATTGTCTTATTATTTTATAATCTTTGGGGTCCAAATTTATTCTATTCCACTGTAATGACTAATGATGATAATATGATAATTCAAAATCAAAGAATTATAATAATAAAACATTGCCAATCAATAGGATCATTTTCTATCACATGAAATTTTTAAATATGCCTTATTCGTTTATAATCAAAACTAAAAATAATCTAAAAAATTTAACTATTCTCTATTAAATTAAATATTGCCATTTTGTCAACATGTCTAACTTTTGATAGATGTACAAAATTTATAAGCGTGGGGTAAGGGAATAAATTATTGGAGATATAAACCAAAAATTTAGATGCATGAAATTGCCCACATGCATCTTTAATCCTGTTTAACATAATGATGAATGGAAAAAATATAAAAATATTATAAGGAACGGCCCATACCGATGTAACCATAAATAAATGGAAAAATCTATTACTTTGGATTATGGATATTATTCTATCTAAATCTAATCAGATTGATGAATGATTTAGATAAAATAATATATTATCAACACTTTTAATTATCAATCCAAAAAATCATATAAAATTATCTAGGACAGACTATATAATAAAGCAAATTTCTAATGAATAAATATAATAAAGGTTCAAAGCAGTTCAATGAATTTTTTATTTTCCATTAAAAATTTTGTAAAAAAATCTAAAAATTCGAATACAAAATTTTACAAAGTGTGTACTGATTTATATTATATCAATAGAATCCAATATTCCTTTTTTTAGTTTGGCCTTATTTTCTTGCTCACAATATCTATGGCAATTGCGACTGTTGAAGATGAATTATAATCATATTTTTATATCACAGATTTGATTCAGTAATTTAGCTTTGATAAGATTTGAACATGCGAACTTCCAAACTATTGAATATTTCAAAATATTGAAGAAAATATTTTTTTAAATTTATAATATATTATTATCCAAAAATTTATCTAAATAGGTTTAAATTTGATACAATAAAGTTATATTTTTACTATATCTTATATAACCAATACTAAATAAATAAATATGAAAAAATATAATTAAGGTAGGGGCCTCAAAATTATTTTACTTTATAACTAGAAAAAGTTGTTACGCCACTGATAAAAAGATAATACTTAGAAACATATTTATCTACACTATAGCAGAATCGATACGAAAAGTGTGCTTAACATATCTAAATTTAATATAAGCACACTTTTCTATTTGAGAAAATTATTTTTTTGAAAAGGCTGAAACAAAAGAAAATCCTTTTACATATCGAAATTATTAAGATTAATGACATACATCTCTTTAACATATATTCGATAATATACTTTATTTTATTTAAGATTTCCTGTGGGTTGTTCAAAAGTTGACAAAGTAGATTTAGATGAATCATGGAAATTAATCTCTGAAGTTTTAGACGATGTGTTGACTGGGAAAGATTATTAATTTAAATATTTTTCTACAGATTTGGTTAAATTTAAATCATATTCTCATTTCTAATAATAAGTATATTTTTAACAAGTTATTTCGATGTAATTAACAAATCATTTTTAAAAATCTAAAAATTTGTTAAATTTTTTGTTCTCCTAATAATTGTATTTTTTTAGGCTACGCGAAGAAAACAAATAATTTTTTATTTAAAATTATTCCTGCATCAAATTAAACTTATTACAACATTTACAAATAAAAAAAAACTTCATTAAAACTCCAAATTATATCATATTTCTTATTTATAAAAACTACGCTTTTTTCACCTTTTTATAGTGTTGCCGATTTTTAAAAAAGGCTAGGTTAATATTTTAGCCAGAAAAATATTGCAAACACCTCGAGATTTCCCTAATAGATGTCCGAACCTTTGGGCCATCTATGAATAAAATATACAGACTTACATAATATTTTTTTGGATATAATTTTGAGTTCGCTGTTTTTAGAAATCTGACCAAATCGAGCGGTTTTACAACACTACCTAAATAATATGAAAAATATAAATAAACCCAAAATAAATTTTTCCTTTAATCTTCTTTTAAATTCTATTTTTTTTTATTTATTTAATTTTTATTCCTTTCTATTTTCCATTTAATCCACACTGTTATTCTAGATTGATATTTTGCTAACTTTCAAAAGTTTACTTCTATACGTCCCAAAACATATTTCCCACATAACAACATTTCTCATTTTTTCTTACTGATATTTCCTACTCATTTATTTACCCCGTAATCGCGAAAAATAGCACAATTCTTTATTCTTATTTGTATGAATAATAAAACTATTTTTGATTTGATTTGCTTCGATACAAAAATTTAATTTTTAAAAATATTTTAAAAATGATGATTAAATTTTTAAAACAAGGGATTATGATAGATAAATATAAAAAGTTTCACAAGGAACATATTGAACACTCTTGAATAATTTCAAATAATGAATATTTTTGATTAATACAAATGATCTCGAATAATTATGAATAATTCCATCGAATGATGAAATTCCATTATTTTTTTTCCAATTAAAAATGATTTATATTTTGTTCATAGACCTGCAGAGGTACCATTTACACGACCCGGCTTGAATTTTTTTAAAAGAAATTTTTCCAGACCCGTCGGCCTAGATTTTTTTTTTTTTAAATTTTCAGGCCAAACCCAGAATTTTTTTAAATATATTATATTTATTTTATTTGGTTTTAATATACGGCCCGCGTCTCTGCTTTTGTTATTATATAATTAAAGCTGGATTGGTAAGTTGGTCAATTGACCGGAGGAATATTAGACCTGGTCAAATACTTCAAATATTATTGGTGAATAAATATATTGATTTAATTAAGTAATATGTATAAAGAATGTTTATCAATCTAATTAGGTTACAAATCAATTAAAATATATTTGTATCATGGCATCAGTTTATTCTATAATTTTATATTTAAATATATGAGTTTCATATTAAATATTTGAAATTCATTATTAAATATAAAATAAAAAAAAATTTCTCATGATTAATATGAATGGATCTTAATATAAATAAATATAATAATTTTGCTAAAGCATGATTTGAGTATTGCAAATATCCAAATAAAATGGGCATCGTAAATAAATTGTATGGAGCAAATACAAAAAATAAAGAAATCTATGAAGGCATTGTTGGTGAAATTTGATATTTGTCTAGAAATCAATAATATATTAAATGAAGAATTTTGAATGACAAATTTAAAATCTTTAACTATTCTTCAACCTTTATTTACTTCATTGTTGTAAATGCGAAGGAATAAATAGTATTGTTAAACGGCTTGATTTGTGTCAATTTTTAACAACCCCGATTAAGATTTGCAAAAATAATATTATGTAAGCATCGAGATTTGGCAAATAGAGATCCAGTATATTATATTATACAAAATCAAAACAATCTTATTTATTTTTCAAGATTGCGGTTTTTCGTCATCATCTAAACGTATATTATTAATTTAATAATCGAAATTATATAAAATTAGAATCACATATAAACGGCATATATGATAAAATATTAAGAAAAAAAATATGTAAAAAAATATGTTTAAAAAATGAAATTTTGTTAAAAATAGTCATCCTCTGGAGATGGCTATGAATCTTTAAACAATTAATTTAAAATTATAACGTTATATTTCAAAACTGACCTTTTGTTTAATCAGAAGGGCCCAATTCTTGTTTTATGGTTCTCCTGGCCCATTAATTTTAATTAGGCCTCTCCCAAATGAGCAATTTGTTGAAACCACAATGGGTATAAAGATATTATTGACGGCTAGATGTAAATATTTTTGGTATTTACTTTTTCCGATAAACCATGTGGATCGTAATTATTATTTGATGGGGCGAATAATGTGAAGTCCCAATACATGTGTTTCTCTATATCCCAGAGGATTAATATATACGTATAACAAAAGTATCCGTGGTTCGAGATATGAAGGAACATCCTTTGAACAATGTCAGTTCACGAGACAATCGAGTGGATCTCTAGCTTTTGAATCAACCATTACCCCACATCTTTTAAAGTTGTGGGGTGGAAATAATCAAAACATCTCAATAATTTGTAGAAATAAGATGATATTTTATATATTTATGTATATCTTTAATTCCAAAATTTTTATATTTTGAATATTGTATAATATAAAATAAATATTTAATTCAAACTATAGGAAAAGCATATATAGAAACCAAATCTACACCTAAACCAAAGAAAGCTATAACCCTCAAAATTGTATCTGCAACAGTTTGTGGTTATCCAATAAAAATCAAATTGCGATGCAAACTACAAATTAAAAATGGTATCTTGGGTGTTCTTGCCATTCCTAAAAGATATCATTATGAAAGACTTTTTAAATATTTTTTCCTATTGAATAATTTAATTAATGATAAAATTATAAACAATTGCGATGGCGATAGTTCTATTATATGCCCATATTAACCTATATTTCAAAATCCATTTAAACACAAAATAAAAAAAATAATAATATAATTTGAAAAATTCCTTAACTATGCAAAAAATTACTATGACAAAGTTTAAATAATAAATCGATAAATGTACATTATGAAGACAATCAAAATAGCAGCAGTAATCAGACACTTAGCCCTAACGACAACACTATAAACTCCTTGATAATAAGAGTTTCGTCAGTTATAGTAAGGTCACTATCAAAAACATCCATTAATAACACATTTGTTAAACTTAGTTTGTTCAACCTTTTTGGTTAGATTGTGTTCTAGATTATGGAAAACAGGTTAAGTAGATGAAGTTGAAGATATTTTACATGAATTTATTTTATATTATGGGGAGTTACAATTGTAATAATTTGGCTGAATTTCCTCCCCCTTGGGCTCCGAGAGAAAGGATAGGGTTGCTAAATTCACTTGCTCCACAGGGCCTAGATTTTTATTACCATTAACGTTACCAATTGGATCTCCTAGAGAGGGTCTTCCTGTCATGCCCAAATTTGAATTTCCTCTTGAGGAAGCTCCTATTATGAATGAATTTGTAATGTTGCTATTAAGATAAATGTTTGATTACTCGTGTCATTTCCATTGTCTTTAATGTATACAATTATTGCTATTATCGATGAATTTGTAATAACTATATAATTTACATTTATTTACAGTTAGCTCAAGATAAGCTTTCTTTATTGCTAATATGGTGGAAAAGTTAAAAAATCTTGATACAAAATTTCTTTATTTATAATTTATTTATTATAAAATAAACCAACTGACTATTAACCTAAAATTCTATATATATACTTTTCAAAAGTAAATAAAAATCAATGTATCTATTAGATTATTATTATATTAAGTGAAAGAAACAATATAACAAGTCCGTAGGTTAATATAAAATAAAACAAATTTCGAATGTATTAACATTCCCACTTCTGTTCTTACTTCAATCTTTCTGTGTTCCTCGCAGTCGTAGTGGAACTCGCTTCCAATCCTTTGTTGTTTTTGTACGTTCTCCTACTCTTCTATCCTCGATCCCGTTCTGTTCAAATCGTTATCATTAATTCGTCGTTTAGTATAATATGTCGAATGTCAAATAAGAATAATGGAATTTATAGAATGTATTAGTAGAATATTGAATTGAATAGGAATTAAGAATAAGAATGATAAAATTGGAATAGAATAATATTTAAATAGAATAATTAATATGGGATTCGCATTTTAGTTTGGCGTTTAAATTTATTTTTATATTTTGCGTTTTAGTTTGGCGTTTAAATTTATTTTTATATTTTGCGTTTTAGTTTGGCGTTTAAATTTATTTTTATATTTTGCGTTTAAATTATTTTTATATTTTACGTTTTATTTATTTTTATATTTATCTTTATATTTTAATTTGGCGTTTGAATATATTTTTTAATAGAATGTACTATTTATTAGGTATTTTTCTAAGTGTTTTATGTACTGAGATCTTATACATGTCTCATTTATGGACATGATAAAATCTTTAAACCTCTCTGATTTTTTTGATGCTCGAACCGGTCTTGGCGATATTCGAATAAGACTCGGTGTTGAAGTACTGACAACATCCTTTCCCTTGAAGAAATCCTCCTGAACGTGATCATTAATATTGGTCGTGCCATATGATCTTTTTTTTATTTGATCCAGATGCCGTCTTATGATGCGGTTACCTGTGTCGACTATAAAGTCACTATGTTTTCGTTTGATAGTACCTTTATCCCATTTGTTTTCGCCAAATACTTTGAACCATACTTTATCCCCTAGTTAATGATCCTATTCGGAGAAATAATGGTCTTAGTTTTAATATAATCATTAATAATAGACGTAGGCTTCAATAGATCCCACTTAGTTCTAGTCTCATAATTGAACATTAATTTGGTGGGTGGAATGCCCATAGTCATATTAGGTGTGTTTCTATAATTGAACAAAAACTTCTCTAGCGCTATATCAGCATCTGTGTTCTTCCTCCATATTGCGTTTCATACTCAATTTGAATGTCCTAACCATCCTTTCCACCTGTTCATTTGATTGTTGGTGGTAAGCTGATGTTAGTACATGCTTTATACCGTG